AAGATAAGTCCAAAAATTAATCATTGATAACAAAAAGTTGGATTTCTTAAGTTGTGTTACTAATGTGTATTATTACATCATGTTGTAGATAAGAGGTGGAACCTGCACTTAGTAAAAATTTAATTTGTTTATGGTGCAATGTGTTCAAATCATGTTAACAAATTATTTTAAAAACATAAATTTATTTAGACATCTTAAATGTATTACCTCTTGAAATAAATCACTGTTTTATCAACTGCGCGTTTTTAATAGGTAGGTACCTTGAATTAACATTTATTACCAGTATTAATAATAATAATTAGGTTCCAGATTTAAATGTAAAGTAATTTTTTTTTTAAGAGCTTTAATATAGGCATGGTTTGGGGTGTTATGGCTCTAACTATTTAAAACATCTTATTGAAAGTTTCTATGGAATTCAAATATGCAAAGGTGGGCATTAACTAGTTGAAAAGTTAAAGTTCAGTTAAAAAGTTAATTTTTTTTAACTTTTTAACTTAACTAGTTAGTTTATTTTCTAATCAACTTATGAACTTAAATAGTTTAATTTACAATTGAAATAACTTAGCTTTTCTCAGTTGATTAAAAAAATCCATTAAGTTAAAACATTTTGAAATTGTTCGTTTATACTTAAATATTACAAATTTCGAACGCTCATAAAAATTTAATTTGACTTTCTTATGAACATTTTTTTTTTTGATAAAGGTAGATAATCTTATAAGAAATCTTGTATTACATTTTCAAATCTTAGATTTAAAAAAAAAATGTTTACGAATTCTTAACTCAAAATAATTTGCTAACTTTCGTGATTTTTCCATATTTTGTCAATTTTTGAACTTTAAATGCTTACAAAAAAAATTGTGACTAAGGATTTTTAATATTTTTCATCTGCCTTTAAAACAATATACTAGAATCCCTCTATTAAATTTTCAAGCTTTTTTAACCAACCAATAAATTTTATTGATATTTCATAAAAAAAAACTAACTAAAGATGTAAACTCAAAATGTCCCTAAACAGTTCAAAATAAATCAAAATATTTTGAAAATATTATTGTGTATGAAAATGCAAGTATAAAAAACCAGTGAAAATTTCATGTATCTACGTTCATTTGTTTTAGAGTTACACCAAAAATCAAAATCGATTTTTTGGAAAACCGAATTTGCGTAAAAATTCCTGTTTTTCCTTAATTTTTATGTTGTATTTCCCGGTGCTTGTGAGAACTACTGGGAAATTTTTACTTTTGGCCCCTCATAGTACCAACTAGATTCACTTTCCTATCAGAAAAGATACTATTGAAGAAAATCCAAGCACTTTTAATGTCCTAAAACGTGATGACAGACACAAAAATAAAAAAAAAACACACATCATTGTAAAATCAATACATTCATCATTTCACTCAGAATCTAAAATAGATTAACTTTTTTAAAACTGAGTTAGTATTTTTTTCTATATGAACTTTTAACTTATCGAGTTAAATTTATAATTTGTTAACTGCTAACTTTTAACTAATCGATCTTGTGTTCTCTTAACTTAATTTAACTTGAGTTAATTATTTTCATTAACTTGCCCACCTTTGCAAATATGGGAACTAATAATAATGATAATGATGCATACTTTGAAGCCCGACCGTTGACACTTACAATATTGTCATCCATTAAAAGTATTATATTATAATATTATAGACATGTGTAGTAGTACTCACGCGTGTGTAATATACAATACATTATATAAAATATATATTTATTATAATATTATTGATATCTACTATATATTATATACACACACACACACACACATAATAATGACCTATTACTATTATAATATGAATGTATTTTATATTATATAAAATATGTGCTTCTGCAGGCGGCGTTTCGAATAGGTACGTATATAAACAGTTCAACTAAATATGCAGATATAATTATTTTATTACGTATAAAATAATATTAACAATAATGCACTTTATTATTATTGTCTAAAATTGCTGTTCCTAATATTATGAAATATGACATTGTAATAATTTAATATACCTATCGTAAACTAATATTATATTATTATTACGATTTATGCGTTTTTCGTGTTGAGAATAACTACGATTTCTATCGCTCTCAGATACAAATTACAAGTGTGTATAGTTGTCAATAGTAATAACAATAATAATAATAATAATAATAATAAGAATAATAATAATAATAATAAAAATAGTAATAATCAAAAATAACAATATAAAACAATAAAACCTTATAATAATGTAGGTAAAAACAAAAAGTAATTATTATAATAATAGGTAAAATTGTTAAGACATAACACTGTATCGATGGCGAAACGCGAGTACAAAATATAATTAGAAACACTATTACACTAAACAATAATATTTAATCGGCGTCTATAAAATATTATAATTCATTATAAGTTAAAAACTTAAATTATTTATTGTTATTATTATTATTATTACTATTATTATTGTGCGTTATTATACACGTTCATGATGAGATCTCGAGGCTGTTCGTTTTCAACCGATTATTATACACGAATATACATTTGAGCGGGAACGTATAGTTGTTATACATATTTGATATATTTATAATATAATATTAGGTATAACTATTATACGTGACATAAAACGAAATAACACTAATGAATAATGATAATATATTATTATGTAACAATAAATAAACACTACGAAGGCAGTGGGATACATGTCATAATGATATCGTATTAAATATATATATGTTTCGTTTTTCGATAAAATATTTATGGTCTAAATGACTGCACAGCAGCTTTTTAGTTGGGTCTTCACAGTCCACATTTTCACAAATTATCGGACGCAATATAACATTAAAAAATATATAATATAACATCTTGGTTATGTTTCAAGACAAACGTATGTATAAATATGATGTAGTATTCTAAAGAATTTTTCTACTGTATTATTTCATATTAATTTTCATCGTCGCGGTCTTTTTTGTCATTAACAAAAACTATGGGTTGATATATTTCAAGTAAGACACTCATTAACTGTTACGTTTTTGAAAATATTTCTTTTACATTATTTTAAGTCGTTACAAATCAACATTTTTGTCTAAATTTTGTGTTTTCCTCATTGATTTTCAAACCAATTTCCCTTTAACAAGATGTTTGCTGTCCTCTCTAAACCATCATCTATTTAAGCTATTTCAAGTTTAAATACTTATAACTCATAAGCTACTAGTTCAAAATCCGATTGTACAACATCTAACAACTCCAAAAAATATTCTGCTCTGGAATAATTAATAAAGTATTCAATATGCATGTTGTCATAAAAAAAAAAATTAAAAATATATAAATTGATAACGATAAAAATAGCAAAACAATTGGTTGTATAATAAAATTAGAAAAAAATCGTTGTTTTATAATGAGTTAAAATTATTAAAACAATTATTTTCAAAAACTTTTGTCGTTTTTTTTAATATATAATGAGTCTTACGTTATCACTTAGTATAGTTAAGTACGAGTTACGACGATGTTCAAGAATTTTTATTTTATATTTTACAGTTGGATTAATTCAACAATTACATTGCCAGTGTTCGATGGCGTCACATCAAACACATCGTATATTTTACGGAAATTAATAATGCAAAACACATGGCATAATATTTGTATAAAAATACCTACTTGTATAATATAAATTAATAGCAATCGAGATAAATCATAGCAGCTAGCACCTCGAAGGACGTATAGTATAATTTAATATTATCATATATTAGAATATTATATAGGTAGACTCCTGTGATATGATTGAGGAGACCTTTAACTTGAAATTTATTCAGATTTGGTCGTGATCTCGGGCGTCAAAATTATTAGTGATTGGAATGCCCGATTAATTCTATTTCACGACATTCGCGTGCCGTTGTATTTTGTGTATAATAATATTATAATATATATTAATACGGACTAACGCCGCTGCCGTTTCCGGAGGAATTCCTAATCTGATGAAGTTTGTAAACTAATATAATAGACGGCATACAACATTCTAATAAGTACGTGAATATAATAAAATATGACGCATAACATACTTATGAGATCGGATTCGAACGAGGAATATTCGGGGCGGTCACCCTACCCATTCTATTTTCATATATATTTTGTGCGTCTGACGTGTGTCTTTATCATATTATTATAGTATGGTACTTCTGGTCCAGCTTGAATTAAGTCTCCCTTCTTTTAATAAGTAAATATTTATGCGTAATAAGACATTTAAATATTCAGGTAAGCACATTTTTTTGAAAACTTTTGCACCCCCTCCTAATGATTTCTTAATTCAAACACTAGCTGCTTCTGGTGCATTAAAGTACCACGATATTATTGAATATTGTTTTAGCGTTTGTAATCGACAGCAATTTTGTGGCGTTTCCGAACATTCGTGAAAAAAAAGTCCGTTAGTCCGTTGCCTAACATCTACAGCATAGGCACGCCTCGGGGTATGCAGGGCATGAATTTGCATACCATAAGGGCTAGCAAGATAATTTTTCTTTAGGGGCATAGAAACAAAAGTCCCAAAATAACTCATTTTAGAAAAAAAATAATATCTTAGTACAAACGATGTTTATGGCTTAATTATGAGAAAAGAATTATCAAATTATAATATATTATATCTTCTCAATAAACACGTCTTTATAAAAATATTATTTTATTTTTTAACATAAAAAAATGTTGAAAAATCTATCATTTTCATTTTTCATTTTTCTAATAAGAAGCATATTATTGGAATAATAATGATGATAGTAAATATTTTTAAGGCGATGCTATTATGACCATTTATCTATGGATACTTTTTATCAGCCACGTAAGTCTGCGCACACCTATTGTCCACAGTAGGTAACATGTTATTATAGTAGAATATATATATAAAATTGTGAAACTGTATAGGTTATAGGTGTACATTGTACAGTCTACAAGTCATATTATGTTCATACACAATATCTGCGGCTGCATGTGGGCGGGAAGGTGATGTGGGTGTCGGAGGTCACACGAACGAATTTTCGCATTTTGTCGGACAGAACTGCACCACTGAACCAGCCGACCCTTCGGCGACGTGCGTCTCCCTGACCGACGACGACTTGACGAGCCGGTTGGCGGGTGGGTAAAGCTGCTGAGTCGAGGGACGCTGCTGCTGCTGCTGCTGAACAGGTCGCTGCTGGACAGGTCTCCGCTGCTGAGCCGTGTGCTGCTGCAGCTGAGATCGCGCGGCGTGCACGTATATGGCGCCGATGGTTTTGCGGTTGCGGTCGCAGCGGCCGTTGTCGTTGTTGTTGGTCCGCTTGAACGCGGCCGCGGCCACGGTGCCGGCCCGGCCGCCGCGCAGGTACCTCACCGAGTTGCTGTAGTCGAACGCTTGGCAAATCTTGCCGGACAACAAGGCCCGGTAACCGTCTCGGAACCGGTGGTTGAAGATGGCGTACAGCAGCGGATTGATGGACGAGTTGGCGGCGCCCAGCCACTGCGCGACCGGCAGCGAGGCGACAGTGTAGCTCTCGACGACCGGAGGCAGTGGCCAGAATTTGATCAGCGAGAACGCCACGTACAGTGGCAGCCAGGATACCGCGAACAGCACCACCACGTACATGATCATGGTGATCACCTTCATCTTGGACCGCTGCACCATGTTGGCGCCGTTGTGCATCGGCTCGCCGGGCACCTTGCGCCGGCTCACCTTCTGCCAGATGAACATGTAGCACACGGCGATCACCGTCAGTGGCAGCACGTAGCACAGCAACAGGTTGGCCAGCACGAAGTACAGGTTGCCACTCTCCACGGTCGGCCATGACTCCAGACAAATCTGCAAACACGCAAGCACGATAATATTATTATTTATACCACCGTGTTGTTATTATTATTATCTTCGGTGGTAAGTGAATAAATATTGAAAAAAAATACCCTACATGCAGAGTTAAGTACGTTTAGTCTATTTATAGGTCGATATATTATTATGATTTAGAGGAGGACACGTCATTTCATCGCAGTCTTACAAATATAGTCGTTAGCAATAATCCATTTTACTCTGTTATTTATAAAATTAGAGTGAATTGAAAAAATAATAATTATAGTTTAAAAAGGTTCATAGCTTGTATTGTATAATTAAAACATCAATAAATGCCTCCGAGAAGCACTAGATAATGATTTTACCTCTTTTTCCATATTAATACACAATCAACAAACTACTCAATAAACTAATTAAAAAAAATAAACGAACTTATGTGATTGAATAATTTGGATTGACGTATTTAAAGTATAAAAAAATTAAATGCTAGGACATACATCATAAATATTCGATCTATATAATATTATAATATTATTATGCTAAACATTTGGTAAGCTAACTGTGAATACTGTCTCCTCAAGTGAAGCCGTGTTTTGGTATCGAATTGTTTGTATTGAGGTATACTATCTTTTAAACAGGAAAAAAATCAGACTAGTCGAGAGTTATGGCCACCGGAAGTTTAGGCATAAGTACTGATAATACAGGCATTGTTTAGAAATTAAAAACAAGTTTTTCTCAGAATGAAAAAAAATTACTTTTCTGTTTTTTCCCTGTACCCTTCAAGTGTATCCCGTTCAAAACCATTTTCATGGATAAATTACGAGTGGTGTGGCGTAAATCAAGAAGTATTTGTCCGTTTATTTTTGTTCGAAATATTTGTATGCAAAACAATATTCAATTATTTTTACTTAATTTAGTTTTAGTCTATATGTATTATGTAATACATATTATGTATTATTTATATTGTATTAACATAATTTCAACAAAGTGTATTATTTTTCGAATTATTTGGGAGACGCTAAGTTATTACAAGAACTTGTACTACTTAGTTATTTTTTTTTATCAACTATTTATGTTAAAGAATACAAAATAAACAATTATTTTTAAAATATTGATTTAATTGTTCAGATACATATTCCATACACAAAGATATTTTTTTAATATCATGTCGTATTGAAAATTAAGATTAAATAGCAACACATATAATTTTATAATTTCTGAAAGCGTGTATGGACCAAGTTATATTATGTATTATGTGAAATATATATCAACGATTCAAACAAAATGAAAACGATTAGCACACACATCTCGTCGAGTTCATTAAATACGTAATATGTAACTAACGAATTCTGTATACTCTACTGCAACTGAAGTTTAACTATTTATAATGGGATCGAAGAAAGAAACATAATAATATAGAGCTGATGGCTATTAAATAGTAGATATTAATATAGTGTGCATAATAAATAAAATAGCGTATTATATATAACTATAAAATGTATTCTGTTATCATAATACGAAATTGTAATATAAACCACTAAATTGAAAGTCTTATATAGTCACCCGCTTATATTGTATTGTAGACATTTCGCCCATTATAATATTGTACTTACTTCAAATTAGGGTTAATCTAAATATACATTATTCCCGAGGCTATTTACAGATTGCACACTGTATTTTAATAGTATGCAACATTTTATATGAAAAACGATGATAATAAACTAATAACAAACATTGAAACATCCATTTTTATTTAGAGCATGAAAAATCTTTACAATGGACGAGCAAATAATAATATTGATAATAAATTTGAAAATTAAAAAATGTTGATTTTTATGTATTTTTAAACTTATTATTACAAGTTAATATTCTATAATATTATATTATAATATAGTATGCTAAACAATATTGTTTTAATGTAAAATATTGTAATGTAATATAATAATGTATAATTTTTTTTTAAATGGATTTAATATTGCACTTTTCGTACAGCAGCCCTATAACAGTTACGACAATCAATAAAGTGCGTAAATCGAATCTTAATTTACTATAATTATTACAGAACGTACTGAAAATATTATAAATCTTTGGGTGGTTCATATTATTTGAAAGTCGACAACGGCTGGAAACAAAATGACTATACTTACGTATATATTGTAATTAAGAACCTTTTTATTATTAAATTATGACCTAATTTTAATAGCGGATATATAATATTTTTCATTTTCATACCACAATCATTATTATCGGTACTTTTAAGCCACGGTAAATATTGTAATTTAACTATAAATTATTATTTATTTAGGTACTTTCTATATAATATCGACCACAAACGTTCACTCGACTTAATTACTTTTTTTCGCTGATTGTTGGAGGTTATGCAAATCGATGCAAAATAACGTGACTCTTGAATATTGATAAAGACCTCATTAAATCTGCGCATATCTCTAGATGGTGATCGTTTCAAATAACTCACAAAATAACTTGAATCAAGGTTTAAACACGAATTTAAACGTTCAAATTAAAACAATCACGAAGTGTGATTATGACGATTAATAATAACATTTGTGTGCGTACAAAAACTATAGTTCAATAATCCAAACATAATTTTTAGGTATAATTTTATTTTATTTTTTATTGGTCTAGACTCTAGAGCCCAGAAACTATGGTCATTAGCTATTGTAGGGGTGACGGTTGGTATGTTTGTTTGGCAACACGTATATGTGTGGCAAGGTTTTGGCCACTATATGGACCCGGGTGGTCACCCATCCGGGAACTAGTAGCAGCGGCCATGATTGTCTGTAGCCACCGCTCCGCGACAACATTGAGATTTATTTTATTATTATATTGGATTTATTGAATTATTTAAATGTCACGTATTTATTTTATTATTTTAATATTAAATATTATTCAAAACAATATACATTAATTAATGATGAATTCCAATCCGGATATAGTAGGTAGCTCTTTTATATTCAAATGTTTACGCTCAAAATATGTCAATGGCGATATTCTGAAAAATTATTGAAGTCTGGAACTAGTGATTTTATATTTATGCTATAAATATAAACCTGAACAATTCTGATAGTGCAGTAGTCCTACCATAAAATATTTACATAGTATTCTTAAAAAAAATAACAGGATAGTTAATTACGACGATGTGGAGTGGTGCAATATACATTAATTATATTATGCATTGGGTATAAACATATTTTACTTATACACACACGACATGTTATGCAACACATTCAGAATACCCACGTCTTCTCGCCCTCACCAAGTTTGATCAGACTCTACAAAGCGACACAAATGCTCTACCTGCTGTACTTATATTGCATGGTACAATGTAAAATCATAAACGCATCGTGATATCTCAAAGTTATGTTTAACCGATGCACCACCAAATAATAAAGAGATTACACCAAAATCAACCTTTATATTATAAGGATCATACGAAATCCACTCATCAAAAATATCTGCCACAAGATCCAACGCCCAACCACCACGCCACTTTTTCCGCTGTTCAAAGGGGTATCTATTACCTTGCATTTAGGCGTTTATGTATAATGTAGAATAATGTCACGCACACATTCACCTTTAAAAAAACTTAAATATAATTACTGTATTGGACGACCTTCAGTAACACCAGAATATATTAATATTTACCTATATGCATATCCACAGTCCCTAGTATCACATTATATAAACATGCACCAGTTCCCTAAGATATATTAGGTCCTAGTGCAGGGGGTCGTTGAACCAACTGTTCCCGGAAGGATGCGTATACCAGCTCAAGACCACTGTTATTCGAACAGGTCATCAACCTTTCATGCATACGATATTATTACGTCATAATTTTCACATATCCCCCGTACAATGATTTCAACCCTAACCTTCACCCTAAAAATTATGGTAAACCACACTAATGATAAATCACTTATCACTGCATTCGAAAAAAACTATATCTATGAAAAAAAATTAAGTTTAGAGTTTGTGTAGGCTGTGTTATAAGTTTCAACACCAACACATTCCATAAATTAAAGTAAGTATTTACTTTCCAAGCAAATCATATTCATCAGGTGTGAAATAAACAATAACAATTATACGTATTCATAAGGCTGAACAAATACGTCGGTAAAATTATGAACGCAAAGCACAGGGGGGGGGAGATGTATAGCTATACCGGTCAGTCCATCGTTCATCCCAGACATAAGAGATCCTGGATGCGCCATTGCAGGGTAGGTATAAATTATGTTATAATATTTCAAAATGTTAATGTACCGGCAAATATGTGATACCATATTATGACCGTCGTCTGTCATGATTGTACGTATAAAGGTTTTAATAGCAACACGCGCTAACAGTGTACCTACTATTATTATATTCGACGCTTGCGAAATAAGTGTCACACAAATATAATAATAAAAAATCTAAACTATATTATGTATATACTCAGCAGACAAATAATTTTCGCAAGTCTATTAAGAGTATATAGGTAGTAATTATTATGATGATAATACCAAAGACGGTCAAAACAAATGCTGTAAACAAAATATACTTATGTCGAAAAGTATACCACGGTATTATCATTCACCTGAAAAAATATGTAACTAAAATTTATCGAGGACCTATACACTTTTTTTTACTTTTAACAAATCGATTGACCTCATAATTTAAATATTATGTATACCTACGAGATTACGAGAGTTGGTAGATAGTAAAATAATTGAAGCTTGTTTTTTATGTTAGCTGTAGTGTATGCTTTAAAAAAAATAAAATGTGACGTAGGTATCTACATAAAACCAAAATAAAAATAAATATTTTATTAAAATGTAACCTGATTGTCGCTGCCTTCCTCCATGGGCTGCAAGTCGAAGTATATTGCCCACGGCATGGTTATGGTGAGTGAAATAATCCATATGATGGCCACGACCCGCTTACAGACGCCTTTACCCACCGGACTCATGGGGTAGCAAATGGACAAGCATCTTTCCACGGAGATGGCCATCAACGTGTTTATCGAAGCGTTCACGGACACCCCTTGAAAGTACGGCACGAGTTTGCATATGACCAGTCCCAAACGCCACTCTGCAAAACCACACGTGATAAAATAGTTTGACGACAATAAATTATACATTCAATTTATTGATACTTATTATTGTCACATATTGTCTAAGCAATTCCATCCAGCTCAAGGGAATGGCATCGTTTTTAGAGGCGTTTGTTTTGTTACTAGATATTTTATGATTTCCTAAACCTAACAAAACTATTAAAAAAATCTTTCCCGAATAAATTTATTTTAATTTTTCGAAATGAATATTGTTTTTCTCGTTTCTTTGTATTCTTTATTATCACTATAATATACGACCAAAGAATACTAAGAAAATAATATTATAATAGCGCGGAGCCCTATATGTGTAAGAAATCAAATTAATATACATTTTAATTTCCCTTTCGTTGCCTGAACCTGCGATAGTATATACCTGATACCTATGTCCTATATATGTATATTTGAACGCAAAATATAAAATCTATAGAAATTAAAACCGCATAAATAGTGTACATTTAAAGATTGCATAGCTCGTGTTATAATATAAGTGGCTGTCATGTAATAATAATAATTTAAACAAGTATAGTTCTGGTTTGGAAAACTGCACGTACGCTTTACAGAGATTTTCTTCACTACAAACAACACGTCATCAATATCCCGAAATGCAATTTCAATATGTGTACGCTCGAGTGTGTCGAGAGAGTACACATCGCGATCGATATTTCTATTCCGTCCACGTTCAAGACAAATTTACAGTTTGTGCACTGCATTTTTATACCCTTAACCTTGACCTGAAAAAAAAGACTTCATTGTAAGAATAGAATGCGCTTTCATTCGCGAAATTAGAAATTTCCATGTTCCTCTTCTCGTTTCACGCTTGTGCATCGCTAAACGGAGCGTTTCGAGTTGTTGACTAACTTTAAATACAATTTTTTAACTTGTATCTCTCGAAAAATGTCGTTTTTTTTTTGTTTTGAATTTTGTACTTTTTCCGAACACCTATAATATTATATCATATTTTAAATATGTTTCAACTTAAAACATTATACATTTTAAACCAAAATTGTTGAAACCGTACTAAAATATTTCTTTCAACAATTTAGAGGTATAAATTAAACTCTTATCACAATAAAGTCAATAAATATTGTGAAAAAACTAGATTTAATTATTATAGAGAATTATACACTGATTTCTGTTCGCAAACTGTGTTTGATGTAAAGTAATTTATCGACAAACTAACTATATCTTGCTGCACATGTACCTACCTAAACTGTAGTAGTGCTATTGACGGCTTGAGGAGGTTTTTTTTATAAAAGATCTATTATAGCTAGAATGCTAGATATGTGAATTCGTAATATACAAGATAGGTATTATACTCTTAAAATTATTTTATACAGGTTGTATAAAAAAAAACAAAATATATTTAATCAATATTATTAGAAATGTATTTTGATATTTAAAAATACAATTCTCTATGAATTGTAACTACATTATTTTAAATTTAAATGTTTTCTTGTCACTAAGTACATAAGAATTGGTATTGTGAAATATTAATTTACTCTAAAATAATTCTTGTACTATTGTGGTTTTTTAAATGTTTTCTGGAATTGTTAAGCTATTGTAGTATACTATAGTCTTACAATCTGTATTTGATTTCCGATAATTCAAAGTACTGCCGGGCTCTATATGGTTTAATATGGTATTTTACAAAAATAAAAAATAAAAAATACTACCTTCTCTTATCTAAAATTATAGTTCTCACTCGAGTACGGACCTATCGAATTGGCTACTTTATAAGATTGCACGCGTAATGCGTGTATTATAATATGGCGTGTCAGGAAATGACAATATATTTACGGTTTTCATGTAATTTCGTGGTACGTGGCGTGTATGGTGCACAATAATTATGACGATATTGTAACAGTTATAATATCCAAGGTTATGATTTCTGAACGTTTGAATCTGATAAATGTGTCAACACGGTAACACGGACTTGAATGTATAATACTCTCCTCGGCAGTTTTAGACGACCACTGGGCACTGATACATATTATATAATACTAAAGTATTTAGATCATCCACACGCGACGAGCACATATTGTATGCTGTAATAATAACTATCATTATATTGTATATTCTATATAATTAGATCAGTGCCCGAACTTTTTTCTATCACCACACATTATAATTATTCATTATAAATAGTATCACACTTTGCATTGGCATTGTCTATTTGCCGAAAAAAAAGTACTTAAGGACCGGCAAAAAGTTCAAGTTTGGTCGGTTCACACTGTGCATTATATCGTTCAAGTGTTAAAATAATAATAATGATAACGACAATGATTTACTGGAAAGTGTATACAGTAACCGGTAAGCCGCATTTGAGCAGTGATCAATAATGAAGTGCTTATAATAATAATATATACAAAATAAATAGTCGCGGGTGGAATTCATCCTACCTTACGCCCCCGGGAAGTGGGATGGACAGAACTTTCAGATAAAGTTTGGACTTCCGATTGCTGTTATTGTGTTCTCGTTTTTGAAGTTTGCGCTCCATGCCACATACTACCATAATAATAATAATAATAATAATAATAATATATGCATGCTGGCCGTACGATTGCACGCGTTCGTTATCGGGTATTCAACGCACAAACGTAGCTAAATTGCCTATACGGGACGCCGTCTTGTTTCGCCAAGTGAGTGCGAGTCCCTGGGCTAACTTACCGGTTTTAGGACGGAAGTTTGTCAATAACGATAAATAATTAATCCTATGAAAAAGTTGGTGGATTTTTTCGTTTTATATACCACACATATAACAATGAAAACCTTGTATTTTTGAATATTAATTATTATGGGCCTCACAATATTGACGTTGGGTATTATAATATCGCATAAAATGATATTGTTTGGCGTAGGTACCGCAATAAAATATTGTGATTATTATCATTATTCCAAAATCGGACCGGAGAGTGAAAAAGTAGGCGTACTTCTGGACTACGAAATGCTATACAATATATTATTATTATTATATATCGCCGTATTATATAATACCCGTGAGCGGAAAAGATTATTTTGTACTCGGTAAACGAAAAAAGGTCATCACGCGATACCGCAAAACTCTTATAATAATAATAATAATAGGGATTTATGTGCGTACACTCATTTACTACTGTTTTTACGAATACGAACGATATTATTATCATACCGTATGTAAACAGAGACGGGAATCGTAGATTATTATAATGATGCGACCTTAACTGCGATTATTTTTGCGGTACTGACTGTAAAAACTCTTTTTATTGTGATGCAGACCAAGTGAAAGCAAGTGCGACGAAAAAATAATTCACTCAAGGTACCTACGAAATATTATTAACGTCACTTTATCACCACCACGTGATCCTCGTCTATTAAACTTACTAAATAGTAAATAGTATAGCAAAAAGTATCCGTTACTCTGATCATCCTCGAGGTGACGCACATCGATATAATAATTTATACACAATCGTGTAAGTTAGAGGTATTCTAGAAATATGGCATGCGCATGTTATTGAATTAAATATTTATTTACTCATTTATTTAACTGTGTTTCCTTACTACAAATAATTAATGGACTTTGCTGAGAAAAACTCGTGTTGGGAGGCTCGTGGTATTAAATATTGTTACGTACACGATACGTCACATTATAAAATATAGTCATAAATGAATCATATACAATTTCATAATGATAAATAAAAGCGTATATGTCTATATGAACAATTAAAAAGTTTTAACTAAATACAGACAGCAAAAAAAAAAAAAATGCAGAAAAAAATTAATGTGCACTTATAGAACGACTGTGATAAAACAAAACATTTAATGTTCACTCGAAATCGTAAAGAAATTAAATAAATAATAATAATTGTTTTATACTTCGTAACAATGTAACGTTGTATACAGTTAGCTACAGATTTTTTTTTTGTTATATGGTATAAATATATAATAACAATATATTACATTGAAATTTACGAATCAAACGAAAGAATTTATAATAATATTATTTATAGTTCAAAGTGGATATATATATATATACATATATATTTTCCCACAGAGCGGAAACGTCAATTTGGATTGTTTTTAATAATTTAACCAGTATATTTAATATTAATATATTATAAAATGTACATATAATATAGCCATTTATTATAAAGAACACACTTTGAGAAACAGTTTTTTTTTTATCTCATCAAATTTGTACACTCGTGATGATTCATATTTCATGAACAACAGTTATACCGACCTTTTACGATACATATTCTTGTTGCTATTTTGGAAAATATAATATAACGAAACATAATCACGAACAAAATGTCGAGTCACTATTTATACAAACATACCACGCTGGCTTGTCATAAATCATCAGATTTAAACATATTTTATAACACTTTATTTATCTTGCTTTTATTCCATTTAATCATAAAGAATAATAATTTTATAATTTTAACTTCATAAAAGAAGATATTAAGCTGCCTGAGTTATACGTTTTTGACATAAATTCGTGTATGATATCAGAGATGAAATGGGAATCGCGTTGACTAATCAGTGTTATTATAGAAAAAGTTTGTTTTTAAATAGTTTTGAAATCCTTTTCATTTACCTTCAAGCCGGTAGTTAAGTAATATATTATGTAGTTTTTCTCAGTAGTTTTACTTAAATACAAAGTGTAGCAGCAGTATTCTAAATAATAAAATACAATGGTTTTCAGAATTATATCTAAATATTAATAATATTTTATGTGTCATTCACAACATTAACTACTGCTAAATTGAAATTGTATAATATGTATTGTTCTATTCAAGTTAAGGGGTGACAGGGAAATGATTTAAAACGTGGTCACTTATAGGAAATAAATTGTAGTTCATGTAAATCTTGATTGTTTTTATGGGAATGAAGTATAGGTCAAATCGGGAAAGCTACGAAAAAGGTAAAAGGTAGTAAGAAGATTAAAATAATTTAGTCATATGGTTTACAATATCGAAAAAAAATTTTTTAGAACACTAGTGTTTTTGGTCGGCACAATATAAAATATGTTATTTTATGAATATTAA